AACTATGGGGAGGAAGTTGGAGGGGAGCTGTTGCATTGTGGTAAACTGTGGTCAGTGACATGAGACAAAGTATATGTGAACTGCTGTATGGAAAGTGAATTTGCTCTGTATATCTTCACCCAAATCAAAATAAAATAAAAATAAAAAAACCTCACTGCCATAGAGTTGGTTCCGACTCATAGAGACCTCCACTGGGTTTCCGAGGCTGTAAATCTTTAAAAAGTATATAGCCCCATCTTTCTTCCTACAAGTAACTGGTGCCTTTGAACCACTGACCTTCTGGTTAGCAGCCAAATGCCTTATCTACTACACCACCAGAGTTTTTTCCAGAGCTTTTTCCAGTTATCATCCCTAGTTATTTTTCATTGCTTTAAAGGTTGTCCTTTTAAGAAGTACCACTGTTGGTGAAAAGCACATGGATGATGACATGCTTGGACCAGTTTAGAGATTGGGAAACTGAGGTGCCAATGAATTGATTTGCTATTATGATATGGCCGTCCTTATATTTTAGGAACTGACTATTCCATATAGATATATCCAAACTTTACTGAATAGAGGCTGGACAGAAGAGTGCATGTGCAGTTAGAAATGAGAATGAGTAGGAGAGTGCTTCTGATTCTTCTTTTCCTGTGGGTTTACTACCATGAGAGTCAGGTGTGTTTTAACACCTGAAGTTGAGAAACACTCTTTTGTAAAAGTGCAAGTAGGTGAGCAGTGATACACCCCATGCAACATTCCTTGGGAAGAGCGAAACATTCCCTTTTTTCTGGAACCTTTTTAACCTTTTTAACAAAGGTCAGTATTATTGAGCTTTCAATGTAAGCTTGTTCACTTAAGCAGCAATGAACTGCTGATACACACAACACCATAAATAAATATCAAAATAATAATACTGAGTCAACTAAGTAGACAAAAACTAAGTAGAAAAAAGAGAGTATGTACTGTATTTATGTACAACTCTAGAAAATACAAGGGGCATGAGGAAAATTTGGGAGTGATATATGTTCATTTTCTTGATTGCAGTGATGGGTATCAAAACTTAAAAAAATATTTTACACTTTAAGTATGTGCAGTTTATTGTATGTCAATTGTTCCTCAAAAAAATCTGTTAAAAATAAAAAGTTAAAAGAAGCAGAGGCATTCTGGTAGTCAAGGGGTTGTTTTCCTTCGTGGCTTGTAGTTCAAGAAAAAGGACACTCCCTTGACTGGAACTGTAGCTGAAAACAGATATATCCTTCCTTAAGTTTCATTTTAAGATTTCTTTCTTCTCACTCATCGGGCAGTTTGTTCCTTCTTTTAGAAGGAAATCAAAAGGCATCAACTCTCACCTTTTTCAGTTTATGTCAATAATGATTGTACTCATTGCAGACATTATATAATCACATACAAATCCATCTTGTTTTTCATTTCTCCTTTATACCTTTTGTTCTACAAGCATTTTCTGAGCTTAGTTTCACAACTAAAATAGTGAGCACTTTTACAATTTTTTTTTTGTGTGTGTGATTTGGGTGAAAATTTCCAGAGCAAATTCACTTTCCATACAGCAGTTCACATACACTTTGTCTCATGACATTGACTACAATTTATCCCAATGCAACAGCTCCCCTCCCACTTCCTCCCGATAGTTACCTCTTCCCTGTGTCCATCTCTCCATGCACTCCTGCCCCCTGAGCTGTCTCCCTGTGCATAAATAGCCCCTCTTTCTCTCATGATTGTTCTCTCCAGGGAGTGTATCTACCTCAGGTAAATGTTCAACTCATATGCCTGTCTTTTGTTTGGCTGGAAGCCACAGGTGTGGGTTCAATTCCAGACCTGAAGGGCAACTAAAGGCCATAGTCTCGGGGGTTCCACCAGGCTCTATCAGACCAGCAAACCTGGTTCCCCCTCTTTTTTTTTTTCCTAAATGATTTTGAGTTTTGTTCCACATTGTTCTCCCTCTCTATCCAGGATCTCTTCCATAGATCCCCCTCTGAGTGGATGACAGTGGTAGCCAGGCACCATGTAGTTCTTCTGGTCTCATAGTCGTATAGGCTGTGGGTCGCATGGTATACAAGTCACTAGGACTAATTATTTCTATGAATCTTTGGTTTTCTGCATTCTTCTTTGCTCTGGACGAGGAGACACCCAACATTGCATCTAGATGGCTGCTTCCATTTACAAAATTTTTTAAACCTGAAAATATGTATTTATATCTGATACCAAACCCAAAACCAAACTCACTGCCACAGAGTTGATTCTGACCCATAGATACCTTCATTGGGTTTCCAAGGTTGTAAATCTTTACAGAAGCAGACTGCCTCATCTTTCTTCCAAAAAGCAGCTGGTAGGTTCAAACCACTGACCTTTTGGTTAGCAACTAAATGCCTTAACCACTACACCACCAGAGCTCATTATATCTGGTACAACATTTGCTAATATTGAAAAAACTTCTCAAGAACTTGCTGAGGCAGTTTTAGTCTTCTAATCTTCCTCTGCCTGGGGGGTACAGTCAACATGCTCCGCTGCTAATCTAAAGCTTGGGGGTTGGAGTCCACCCAAAGTCACCATGGGGGAACAAAAAGCCCTGGCAAGGTACTTTCCCAAAAAAATCAGCCATTTAAAACCCTATGTACACATTAGCCAAAAGGTAGAAACAAGTTAAATGGTCATCAACAGATGAATGGATTTTAAAAAATGTGATACATACATACAATGGAATACTACTCAGCTGGGAAGATAAATGAAATCTTGATACATGCTACTGTGTAAGTCAATTACAAATATTATATGACCTCACTTATGTAAAAAGACACGAAAAGGCAAATGTATAGAGACCAAAGTTTATTAGTGGTTAACAGGGGCAGGAGGGAGGAGGAAAAAGGAGGTTAATGGTTGTAGAAAAAGTACATTGATTAAGGATAGAGTCACACAGCCAATTATTGTAATTGTTATCCATAAGTTGTGTACCTGTAAAAAATTGAGTACCTGTAAAAAGTTCAATTGGCAAAAGTTGCATTATAGATATATTTCCAAAAACAACAAAACAAAAGAAGAGTAGCTGCTGAGGCTACAACCAAAAACTTCATGGGACTTGGTTCCTTGGTTTGGAGGTTTACAATCAGGATTTCATGGGCCATCCCAGTTAATTGGTCTCAATTGATTTGTTTAGTGCCTCTGTTCTATTTTCTATTTCATTGTATAGTGTCTGGGGTCTTAAAAGCTTGCAAGGAGCTTTCTAAGGCACAATTGGTCTCTCTTTATCTGGAA